ACTGAACCCAGGTCTCAGCAGAAGCAGCCAGTGCTGTTACCCCCGAGTCACCTCTCTAGCCCACCCCTTCACTATTCTTATCCCTATTTTTTTTCTGTATATTTGAAGTTATTTCCAAATACAGTTTTCAAAATGTCAAAAAGAAACTAACTGCATCAACTCTACCTTCTCCTCCAGGTACCACTTTCACCAGCTCACCCTTTGTTCCTGTCTCCAGAAGCGTCATCCACTCAGTCTTTCTTCCCTGCAGACCACACTGCACTGGCTTTTTCTAGGTAGGATGCTTGCTCCCCGGACTTGCTGCTACTTGAATGTTCCTGGCTCTCTCATTTCATTTTTCTTCTGGATGCTATACTTTAATACTCCTCTCTGGACAGCTCCATCCATATGTTTGGCTCCTACCACTCCCAAAAGCTGTATCTTGGGAATTTCTCTTTGACCCAAAGTCTTCTCTCCAACACAATTCTCTTGTGGGCCCCTGCCATCGTTGGCCTGATCAGAAGCAAGGTCTTTCATTTCTGTCATCTACATCCAAAGCAGCCCAACACCACCTGGTGGTATTGTGTACGGTCCTCAAGCTTTCACCGCATTCTTTTCATGCCTCCTTAACTCTCTTCTGGACCACTGCCAGGGTCTCTGTGGTCATTCTGATGCCTATCCAATTCTGCCTCTAAGAGTTTTATAAAATGCTTACTTGGTCACTTTCTGCTATGGTTTGAACACCACCCTGAAAAAAAATTCATACTTAATTACCAATGTAATATTAAGTAGCTCTTTTTTTCTTTACAAAAACAAAACAAAACAAAACAAAAACCAAACTCCTGGGGGCTGGAGAGATGGTTGAACCAACCCTTCTGAGTGGTGACTATATTCTAAAAAGAAATCTATTAAAATGTTAATGGTCATGGGGCTGGCGAGATGGCTCAGCGGTTAAGAGCACTGACTGCTCTTGCAGAGGACCTGGGTTCGATTCCCAGCACCCACATGGTGGCTATGAACTGTCCTTAACTCCTGTCCAGGGGAATCCAAAGCCCTCTTCTGACCGCAGCATTGCATGACATGGGTGCACTCACATACATGCAGGCAATACACTCATACACATAAAATAAAAAATATTAAAAAAAAAATTCTTAAAAATCTTTTTAAAAAATCTGAGATAGGTCTCACTATATTACCTAGGCAGCCTTGAACCTAAACTCCCATGCTCCTGAGATGCCAGCTTCAGCCTCTCAAGGCCATGGAGCCTCCACCTTTGTGTTCCAATGTATTAAAGCTATCATGGCTTGGGACCGAGTTCCTCATGAAGGAATCCTTGTTTGCCTCTCTCTGCTCTTCCACCATGTGATGATCCCTTCCACCATGTGAGGACACAGCAAGAAGGCCCTCACTAGATGCCAACCCCTTGATCCTGTACCTCTCAGGCTCTAGAACTGTGAGAAACACATTTGTTTACTGTAAGTGACCCTATCTGTGGTGTTCTGCTAGAGTACCACAAAATAAAACAAAAATCCCTAACACAGTCCCAAACATCAGGCCAAGCCTTCTACATCCAGCTACTTAAATGTGTCCTTGGATACAAAATGGGCCCTACTGCTTTCATGCTGCCATTGCACTCATTCTTAGCCTGCCCTTTCCTTCAACTGTGTGTGTGTGTGTGTGCGTGTGTGTGTGTGTGTGTATATGGGTGTGGTATGTGCATTCAAAATGTATGTATGTGTGTACATCCATGTGGAGGCCATAGGTGTGGTGTCTTCTTGTCTTCTTTAAACACTCTCATCTTCTTTTGAGACAGTCTTTCTCACGGAGTTAAGAGCTCACCGATTCAGCTAGGCTATCTGACCAGTGAGCTGCAGTGATCTGCCTCTCCTCCTCGGTGCTGGGATTTCAGGTACATGGCACAACTCCAGGCTTTTTACATGCATACTGGGGATTCAAACTTGAATCCTCATGATTGTGGTAAACGCTTTACTACTAAGCCACCTCTTCCACTCCTCCATCAATTCTTTGACAGACTAATTCTTACTTCCCTAATCTTCAGTCACTTCTCGACCTTTAAGATTGTATGACTGGATGCTGACTAGACTAATGAAATTACAAATACTTCCCTACTTGTCTTGAAAATCTAGGCAGAGGCCAGTAAGTCTCAGGTCTGGCACTGTTTACCTTCCTCTGTTGGGCAGGATTATAATGTACAGTAATTCAGTGTAATAACTTCAATGAAAAAACACAGGCAGAAGTGCATCAAGATCACACTAGCATAAATTGTGATAGCATACAAAGGCCATTAAAAGAGTAAAATAAAACATTGTTCTTATGAACAGGACTGAAATGACATTTGAGTATCATGGTTCTCTCTGGGTGACACAGATCTTAAAACTTGCTGATCTTCCCCACCTCCAGGCTCTGAGTTAGTTCAGGGAATGAAGGAATAGGTAAGCAAAGGCCTAGCCCTCAAGGCACCAGTACAGATGAGGAAGGGGGTGTAAGGGCTTGTCTCTGCCCTGAAGACTAAGAACAGCTTCAGAAGAAGAGTAGAGTTGGGCAAGCCAGGTGCAAAGAACTAATGTCCATGACTCTTAAGACGTCTGAAACAGAGTAGCAGGTGAAAACTGGACAGATATGCAACAAGGGCTCACCAGGGTCTGACTCATACTAAAGAGTCCACTTAGTCCTCAGAACTTTTAAGCTAAGGACTAGGAGATGTACACAGGCATATCACCAGGGGTTGGCAGTCATTTTCTGTAAAGGGCTAGATAATGTTTTAGGTCTTGTGGCCTACACTGCTGTTTATAACTTTAAACATTCTTTTAAAAAGGCATAAACCATTCTTAGCTCATTACAGATAACTGACCCAGTAGTCTGACAACTGCCACTAGATAGTATCAAGAAATCAGAACAAATATGTGTAGTGATCTTATAACTGTTGGAAGTATACATATTTTTTTAATGACAACTAAAATATGTTAGGGTAAGAAGAGCATGGTACCAAGAATTTGCTTTAAAATGCTTCAAGAAAAAAAAAGGTAAGGATGAAAAAATTGTAGCAGAATTCTCAAACTGTTAAATCTGATGAGCATTTTATTTTCTTGCTGGTTTGTTTTTATAAGAAAAAAAATTTTTTAAAGATCATTCATACTAGTTTCAGTGGGAGAATGGATTGAGGGGAGGGGAAGAGAATCAAGTGGAGTTCCAAGATAAAGTTACTACAGCACAATCAGTAAGATTGATGTAGTGGCTGTCATGTGTCCCCTACCACTCAGGAATTATTCCAAAGTCACAACTCCTTCAAAGGACCAAAAAGGTTAGAATTTTTAAAAACTAGATGGAAAATCCCTCTCTAACCAGTTTTCAATAGAGATCATGACTGTTAACAGCCCGGTTAGATCAGTTAAGTCAACCATAGAATGTTCTCTATTCCTCACAAATTACACAGCACCCACAACCTTCGAATAGTTGTTTGTTCACATTCTACCACCTGCCTACAAACATGCACCAGGCATCAACAACCTGCACTTCACTACTGTCTGCTCTGCAAAGTCAAGAGTCAGTTTAGACAACTCACAAGAGAGCAACTGTGGTTCAGTCTAGTGGAAAATTACTTCCTATAAATAAGAGTCTGCAACAAGAAACAGGTGCAGCATGCAAACAGCAAGAAACAGGTGCATTTCCAGAGTCCAGCTGTATTCCACAGGCGATATATTATCTCAAGTGTCACACAGGCATCCTGCACCTTAAGCTCTTACATACTATATTTGACTCAGAAATTACTAGAGAATGTGATCATAAAATGTTTACCAACTCAAGTACCTAAGTAGGAAGATGAGCAAAGAGAAGATGGGTCTGTGACATGAGAGAAGCCATACAGAGGAGGAAAAAGCATAGTTATCTTTGCATTTAATTTACGAAAGGCAGGATTGTAAATGTTAACAAGAATTGGTTTTATTGTCTAAAAAGTAGATACAAAGATTTAAAAGTGTGGTTGTTTTATCCCTTGAAGTAAACATATGTTAACAGAATATTCTATCTGGTAGTGGAGAAGAGATCCTGGAATAAGGTAAGGAAAGGAAGAGCAGGTGGAGAGTTTTCTGAGCTAAGGGGTCAGGGACTGGTTTGAAGCAAGTCATGGATAGAATTAGTCTAGGGACAGGATAGGGCTAAAAATCACAAATACCAAGTCTCAAGAGGAATAGGCCACTTGCTTTTTACTTAGCTTTATTTGTTCTTTAAATACTCTACACAAGTGATTGTAATGACTTAGCAAGTTTAACAACTGGCTGGATACATGTGAAAACAAAAATTATTTTATTATCCTTCAGTCCCTTCTTAATTTAAAAACCCTAACCTAGCACACCACTCACATACTATTGTTCAAGTAACAAAAAATTGCAAACAATCCACAGGTTACCAAATACACATCTAAAAAATTCATCTGAAACATCTAAACAATGGCCAATTAAATAACAAGAGTAAAACAAAGCAAAACCTCTTCTGTTAGACATCTGTAAAATATCTAAGTGAAAAAAAAGCAAGGCAGAAGGCTTTATTAAGCTACCACCTGTCTGAATAAAAGAGGAACTAGCTACATTTATATTTGCTTATTTGAATAAAGAAATCTTGGAAGAATATACTTTTAACAACAACTGTGAAAACAGTGTAAGAAAATCTTAACCCTTTTATATTTTAATATTGGAGTCATATGAATGTTACAGATTCCAAAATTCACTAAACCAAACCAACCCAAACCAACCTTAAAGCGTTCAAAAAGGAAATGGTCCTGCAGGCCATCTATACTAGACATCTTAAAGTAGTAACAGACCGGCCCCCCAGGCACTTCTGGCCCCCGTTCATCTTTTTTTTTTTTTTTAATTTTATCACCACTCCTGGATTCCCGTGAGCTATCCCCCAGGCCTAGGAGTCTCTACTATCTTCTTTTCCCTAAGTAAACACCTTCTAAGTCAACTGGTCCGGGGTCGGGGCAGGTGGCCTACGGTGGGGCTCACCTGGTCTACAGGTGTGTTTCCCCTAGGAGAGGGCCGAAGTCTCCCGCGGCCTCCCGGCACACCTGCAGCAAATACCTGTGCCACCAAGGCAGGGTGTGGGGTGCAGACCGAATCCGGTCACCTTTAAAAGATCTCTGGGCGCTCGTACTCCCTCGGAAATCTCAAAGACACTTAACTACAATCGGGGCAAGGCAGGGAGGGTTTTTCTAGTGCTAATACTCGGGATTAGTTCTGCCCATGCGCCCGCGGAGGCTGCGGAGAGCCAAAGGCCCGGGGCGGGATCCTGGCCTTCCTGCCCGCGCAGGCCGGCTCGGAGGGCAGGCTCGGGCCTACGCTGTCTGTGCGGCCTGGCCTCTCAGTTCCCGTCACCCCGGAGGAAGCGCGGGGACACACGCTCTCCCAAACGTGCCCGAGGCCTCGGGGCCCCAGGGGAAAGTGGCGGGCCGGGGCGGGAGCGGGGACTCACGTACTGGCTGTGGCGGCGCCGCGGGAGCCCGGCCACCGGCGGGACAAAAGCGCGGACCGCCCGGCCGGAAGGGCCCGCGCAGCCCGGGGGTTACTTCCGCCGCCGCTCTGGGAGGCTGGAGGACTGACTCGATGGTCCGCCCTGTTGGAGCACGTGACCAGCCTATGCTAAGGCCGGTGATCAGCCGAGGTCTCCCCGCAGTTTCCAGGTTTCCTGAACTGTTATATTTCCGAGTGTGTACGGGGTGGGTGATGGGACGGTTAAGGGTTCGGTGGAATAACTACTTCAGGACCTGCCCATGAAGCTGAGTACACAGTTATCAAGTGAGGCCGGGACGTTCCCAGGAGGAAGGGAATATGGGGGTCCCTGCTCCCCTATTTCAGAACCGAATGGGGGAATTTGCCAGGACCCTCGGCTTGGAGTTATGGACAAACTCAGGCTCAGCAAGATGCCTCATTGCCTGCCCCGTCCCCTCCATCCATGTAGCTGTCTGCTTACAAGGCCTAAAACACTTGCAAAGGATGTGGTTTTTTTGGTCTGATGTTAATGTCGATATTTGAGAAGTTGAATTGTATGTATCCAATAGAATCTAAATTCGAGATTTGAACTGCCATACCATTCACTTTTTTCCCCTTATGTAGCCCAGGCTGGCCTCTGACTGCATAGTTGAGGACAACCTTGAACTCCTGGTCCTCCAGCCTCATAATCTTTTAACAGAAATTTTACATTTACCTTGCAAATGTTTTTATAACGTAATCTACAGCATTTTTCCTTTCGCTCAGAATTTTATCCTACTGTTAATATTTTATACTTTTTAAGTTTTGCTGTTACCCCATTAAAACCTCTGAGATGTTCTAAACTAGGTTCTAGGCTAAGAGAATAGAGGTTAAAAGAGAAACTCTTTATTTAGCTAGAAACATCTGGTTAAGACGCCAGAACAACCCCTACTTCCCGCAGCACTACCGAAAAACTGCTCCACATTCTTAAATATGTCTTGAAACCCTTGACCCAAACCCCAAGAAACAACAGCTCTCTTTGCTGGCTCTCTTCCTGTCCCCAAATTTCAGGAAGGCCTGGTTTTGCTCCACTCCTGCCCTGTTTTCTTTCTTTTTTTAAAAAAAAATTTTGTAATTTTTGGCACTACTATCCTCAGACCTCTTGGGGTAAGTCGATAGCGCAGCTCTCCGCGCCGGGACTCCCTAAGCCACATTCACCCTTCCATCCCCCCCGCCTCGCCGTTCTATACTCCTAGTTTGAGCCCTGCGCCATTCCTAGTCTTGGGTTTTTATTTTATGTGTATGAGTATTATGCCTGCATGTAGGTAAGTGCACCTGTGTCGTGCAATGCCCGCAGAGGACAGAAGAGACTGTTGGATCCCCTGGAAGTGGAGTTTCAGACAGTTGTTAGCTGCCATGTGGGTGCTGCGATTCGAACCTGGCTCTTCTGCAAGAACCGTCAGTGTTCTTAACCTGAGCCATCTCTCCAGCCCCCTACCCCGTCCTCTTTTTTATAGTCAGTATAGGCTATAGTGTTTTCTTTCATTCCTTTAATGTTTTCTTTTTTCTTTTTAAATGGTTCTTTCCACTGGTCCCATGGATATTTTCCAGCTGCTCTCCAGCTCTCCCAGAACCTGGTCTTTTCTGGCTAACATCTGTAACAGCTTAATGAATCCTTTCCTTCAGAGATCTCGTGGCTAGAGTTTTCATCTAACAGCATTCTAGCGTATGTCTAGTGAAATTAAAAATTTATGGGTTTTCCTAATTTTTAAATGTTAATTATTTTTGAGTTTATTGACAGTTATAAACTATATTGTAAAGTTTTGATTTCTTATGCAAGAGAAATGCTTTGGAAGCACAATTTTTAGTAAAGATTTTAAAAGCAGTTCAAATTATATTACTTGACTTCTACTGATGGTTTGGAGTATGTTGGGGTTTGGCACCAAGTCCATGTCTTTTTAAAAATTTGTCTATGTGAAGCCCTGAAACACCATATTCACATGGGTATGTAGAAGGAATAGAAGTTTTGTTGTAGTAATAATGTCTTTGATGGCATTTGGGCACCATACCACAGAATTCTATGCTTTTACAGAGGCCTGGGACAGTATGCTGTGTCTTAGAGCAGAATAGGGCAGCAGTGAACCCCAGTGGTGAGCAGAGCCCTAAGACCAGCACATTTTAGAGAAGACTACAAAGAAGTTGAGGGGTGTGAGAATATTCTCCTATAGCACCCTAAAGAGTAGCCTAGATATGGCTGCTGAGGGCTTGAAATGTGGCCAGTGCAGCTGAGGATCTGAACATTTATTTACATTTCATTTAAATAACCACATATCACTAGTAGCCAACTTAGTGGATAGCACAGTCCTGGGAAGAACTTTGAGAAGTTCTTGTAAGCCTCCAGAAGAATTCATGGTCTAGATTCAAGGTTGTCACATTAGGCTGGCCTGCATTCCAAGATTAGGTTTTCCCCTTTAGACAAGAAAGTATAAAACATATCTGGGTTGGGACATTTTGCCCAGTAAAACTATGGGGGAAGGGTCTAGGTAAATCTTGATTCAGATGATTATCAGTGTGGATGCTGGTTTTCCCTCCATGAGTTTTTGGTACTGTTGGCACATTTTGTTTGGCCCTGTGCCTAAACACACATACGAGCACGCCTTTTGCAGCATTTTTCTGGAGTGTCTTCCAAAGAAGTGTCTAGACCTGCATTGCCTACTGTTGAGCTATTCATGTTTGGCTATTAAGCACATGAAATACGGCTAGTCTGAACTGAGTTATGCTATAAATGTAAAATCCACACTGGATGCCTATGCTCAGAAAGCAAAGAGGTATAAAGGAAACCTTTATTAGTGTTTATGTACTGATGACATGCTGAAGTGATAGTAACTGGGTTGACCATCAGCTAATTGAGAGTTCTTTTGCTCTTCCAGCATGGAAGCCATAGGTCTGCGTGGAGGAGCTCTAAAGTACTGGTCTTTACAATTTTAACTTCTCTCCGTGTTTGGTAGCAGTTAAGTGCTGGGGGTTCAGCAGGTGGAACAGCAGCATGTGCTGTTGTTCTAGCATCATGGTCACGTGAAGGCTGCAGGTATCAGGACCCTTAGGCCTTGGCATCAGTCAATGTCCAGCATTTAGCTTGGGTCTGAGGTCTTTGTCCCTGAAGACTTGATGGTCCTTTGGTCCTGTCCTGGTGACCAGGGCCTGCAGCTTCTCTTTGGCTCCTTCCTTCCTTCTTCAGCTTTGGGCCTTCACCATGTTGCCTCTTTCCCTGTCACCTTTCTTTTGCTCTGGCCAGTCTCAAACTTCTCAGTCCTTTCTTCCTCACTATCCAGCAGCTGGCTGGCTTGCTACTTTCAGTTTGGTCTGCCAACTGCTCACCTCTTGCCGCCAGTGCCATTCTGCCTCTGCCCGTTGCCACAACAGAGGAGACGGCACAGCAGAGGGTTTTCCAGCCAACCCCGGATGTGAGCCTGAGCAGCTTCTCTAGCCTGAGAAGGGGTGTTCAGACCAATCAAAGCCATTGCTTGGGGCAGTCACAGCCTCCAGGCCTCTAACACCAGGCATTGGGGTTTGTGTTTCTGAGCAGTCACACCCATGTGAGTTCAGTGCCAGTTCTTCTGCCAGACGGAGGGTTGCACTTCCTGAGGCTTGTGATAGCAAAGGTATAGTACAGCTGTTTAAGCAGCCCGGGCTTGAGCTTCACTGGAGCAGTCAGCTGGAGTTTTCTCAGTGCGTCAGTACAGTGTTTCCACTGACTGATGTTGGTATAAGGCTAGCCAGCTGACAGACTGATAGTCCTCTTTGTCAAGGCAGCCAGGGCAGCAAAGCAGCAAGGGAAAGTCCAACAACTTCTAACTGGGGAGTCGGGTTGCCCCTCCCCCGATATATTTGCTTATTTTCAAGAAGAGGAACATCAGAAGGAATGCTTACCACAAAATGTGAAGAATTCATCCTTAGGATTAAGTGATCTTAATGGATTTAAACAATGGTTTATAGTGCTTAAAACCTGCCAGAGCATCAGGTAGCGGTGTGTCTCACAGTGGGTTGAATAAACTGTATCATTAAAGATGAATTTCAGGCAGGCATGGTGGCACACACCTTTAATCCCTACACTCTGGAGGCAGAGCTAGGTGGATCTCTAAGAGATAGAGGCCAGCCTGGTCTACATAGGGAGTTCCAGGCCAATTGGGGTTATAAGGAGACCCTGTCTCCGAGAGAGAAAGAGGGGAGGGATTTCACATCTTTCCTTCTGCTTTAAATGTGCCTACTAGAAGATTAGAACTTGGACTCATGGACCAGTTACATTTCCATTGGAAATGGAAGCACAGCTCTAGATGGCCAGTAAGGGTGGTAACAGTGATATCTCAACTTTATTCTTGTTGTAGCATCTCAAATATAAATGAATGTTGAGTTTATCCATAGGGGCTTGATTCCATATCCACTTTTAGCTGTTAAATTGGTCATGAATTTATTTTAAAAGTTCCCTCCCAGTATAGCATATCAACTCTTTATGTAAAATTTGAAACTGAGAAAAAATTGTTTGCCACTGTGTTACTTAGTGACAATTACTGTTGACATCATAGTGAATTTCCTTCCTTTTCTATCACCAATGTGCAGACATTTTTCAGATACTTGCAGTCATACAAATTCTGTACTTTTATAGTACTTTTATAAATAATATTCTGTATTGTAATTTTCCATGCTGCTGTTTTCTGTGATGTTCTATTGAATTAGTCTCATTAACTACTCTCCTGTGTTAATGAGGTTATTACTAAGTAAGTCTTTAAATAAGTTAGTTTTATAATAAATAATACTTTGCAAATGTTTTCCTGTGTATTTCTTGGAATGGTTGACAAAGAGAGGAATTACTGGATCAACAGACAAAATGTTTTTAAGAGTCTTAAAATAACAACAGGAACTGAGACACTAAGAAGCATTACAGGGGAAGCACTAAGAACAGTCAACAAGCCAGAAAAAGATG